CCACCAGTGCTCGACTTCTCTGGGACAGAGAACCCAGGAACACTGCAATTCAATTCGATGATGTGATTTCTTAGAGAAGCTGTGACTACAGCAGCCGCAAAATTATATCCCTACAGCGCCCCCTGTTCAGCCTGTCTTCTACAAAGTGGAGCTTTATCCTGCCTGTATGGGTAATTCCACCCTCACCATCACACTGCTTCTTTTCTAGAGGTCAGTTTCCTATATCTGGACATCCTGCTTTTATCACTTCTTAGAGGTTTTAAATAAAAAACAATAATAAACTAATTTATATTAACATATATACTAAAACTAAACTAAATATAGTTGTGTTTCATTTAATATGAAACATTGCAGCATGTCAATGAAAAGGTTTCAGTTAAAGATTAGTTCAGACGAAAGTTTTCACAGATTTAACTTTCACATGATGTATAATTCAGTTATTAATCTTAAGGCTTCAATAGTCAGACACTACAGTGAAATATTTGGTCAGAATCTAAAATGTAAGCTTATGGTTACGTTATACATGTATCTATGAGAGCAGGAGGAGATGTTCAGACACGCATCACTTCAGCGTTTCGAGTTTTTTTAAAAAAAGCTGTTAAAGTTCTGTTTAATCTTTTGATGTGGTTGGACGTTTCAGCAGTTCATCCTCTACTGCAGTACGTATGTGCCATCTACACTGTGGTCTCTGCTAAATACACACTCAGATATGGAATATAGTTCACAGAAGAATGAAGATAAAGTACATGTGAAGGGAAAAGCCTCACAGACAAAAGCAAGCCTAGACTTCCTGAACCTCAGGGAAAAGTTTACAAAGAAATGTAAAAAGTAAGCTGATACAAAAATGTCATGTATAATTCTATACATAATTCCTGGCTTAGTGTAGTTCTGGAAGCCTGGAACCATTCGAACAATCGGTTCTGTAGTTTATGAGCTCTACACACACCTGTATACTTTATCCACAGCTGCACCTGCAGGACCAGTGTTTACAGTGTCATCCTCAGACTGTGGAATTATATACTGAAACACAATTCATTGTTATGTAGAAGGTTTTATTACTTTATGTAGGAGTTATGGAACTGATTTTGTGTTATACAACTCAGTCTAAGTAGATTATAGCAAAGAAACATCCGGTGGGCCTCAGCAGTATTTAATATCTGCCTTTATGAGCCTTTAGCAGTAAAATAAATAAACCTTCAGTAAAAATGACATTATAACCATAATGTGTTTGCTGAGCTAGTTTTCTCCTCTGCTGTTTGTTGTCATATACTATTAATAGAAATGTTTGAAGAGAAGCTGTAACACATAAACTGTAGCACGTACAGAAAGGGTGACACACAACAGTAACATATTTAAATTTTAAATCTTGAGACAGTTCATTTGTAGTGATTTGCATATTAAGTTTTACATTTCTGCCCATTGATGTGAGTGGATGAGGCCTGATTCTACCTCCTGTTTTGAGAGCCAATCAGCTTTCAGTACAGAGTTATAAAGCTGCTGTCGTAGAAGTTTTGCATGCAAACGACATCTCAAAAGGTTACTTTTAGCCTTCAAAAATTGTAAGTGAGCTATATATATGCATATTTTTGTCATTAGCAGAAGTGTTAGGACAATATAACAGAATTTATATTTTTTTTCTTTTCAGGAGATACATTATTTTGAATTTGGCAATGATTCCATTTTATGCCCTTGTTTTTGTCACTACAGCAGTAGGTACTGTTTACGGTTCTTTATTTTTCAACATTACTGGACTTCAACTTACGTATCTTAATTGGGAAGCACACAGATTTCAAATAACAATACAGTTTAATTTTTTTGTTTGTTTTTCCTTTTAGGTGGCACCTCGATTGATGTTCCATGTCTAAATGGACCGAAGTACATTAATGGTGGGAAAAATATTAGTCTGAATTGTTTCTTTTCACCCGTTGATCCGGCAGCGACTGCATGGTTCAAACAGACTCCAGGAGAAAAGCCTCTTCTCATTGCTTCTGCTTTTGACACTTTACAAGTTAAATATCATAATGATTTTGACAAGACCGGACGCTTTAATGTAGCAAGTGAAAAAAGCAGTTTTAATCTGAGTATCTCAAATGCAGAACCATCTGATTCAGCTACATATTACTGTGTATTTACATATTATACAGATGCTACATTATTAGACTGCACAGTTTTGGTCCTCAAAGGTAGGTGTTAGACTACTACAGTCTGCTACAAATCCTTCTACATTGTAAACCTGAAATCTACATCTACATCTCAATCAATAATCACCTTTTTTCTCTCTTTAGGTCCATCTTCAAGTCTCTCTGCTGTTCTCCAGCCTCCTGTATTAGATCCTGTTGAACTGGGAGGAGATACAACTTTGCAGTGTTCAGTACTCACAGATACGTCTGCAGGAGAACACAGTGTGTACTGGTTCAGACATGGATCAGGAGAATCTCATCCAGGAATCATTTACACTCATGGAAACAGGAGTGATGAGTGTAAGAAAAGCTCTGAGACTGATTCTCCTACACAGAGCTGTGTCTACAAACTCCCCAAGAGAGACCTCAGCCTCTCTGATGCTGGAACTTACTACTGTGCTGTGCTCATGTGTGGACAGATCATCTTTGGGAACGGAACTAAACTGGACTTTGTAGGTGAGTGCAAATATTTTAAATACTTTAACGTAGCCTCAAACACAGCCCAAATAAGAGAAAAAGTATTCTGTGTTTGAAAATGATTATAGTTTAAGAGTTGCTTAAATTTTATTTATAAAAGCAGGGCAGGTCAGCGCTTGATTTCAGAATTGTTACATTAACTGCACATTTAATTCATATTTAGCTCACATTTAATGCATTTTGTGAAAGCAGGTCAGAACACAGGTATATCTGTAGGTATTCCAGATCATATTGTTCATTATATGCAAGACTGAATTCACTGCTCAGAGTAAACAGGCAAGGTAAATATCAGTAATCTGTTAGCAGCAGTTTTCAAACCTTTCTGAACCTCCAAAAATGAGCTTTACATCCTGACACCCCGTCACACTGCGGCTACAAAATGCATGCAAGAATGTTACAATGGCAACTATAACTACACAAAACTATGACTACCTATTCTGGTTCTCTTTAATTAGAGTTTTAAAAGTATGGGAATATTTGTAGACATCTAGCATCTCTTCAACAACTCAGTCTTTCTGAATGAAGTGATATTAGTATTTTATGAACTACTAGGTAGAAACAGTTTCTCATAAGAGATAACTCGCGCTCTAAATGTGGATGTTTTGTGGAATAAACAATCACATGAGGGAACACATATTAAATGTAGCAACGTTGGCCGGTAAACCCTGCCACAGTCTAACACTGAGTCTTTTTTGGGACAGTTCAGTGCACACTGTGCTTTTCTTCACTTGCATGTACTCCCTCACTTGCAATGATAATGCAATATCACTGATAACAACATGTAATCAGTAATAAAGGCTATATACTGAGATTATAGATAAGCCCAAAAGTATCGCTTGATTTTAAAAAATCAGGGCTGTGCCCACTCCCCCAGTTTTCTTCACTTAACAGCCATTTATTTGATTAGGTATTCTAGATACAATTACATCACAATTATGTTTTAGTATTTTTTTTGCTTTGTACATTTTTCTGCATTGCATTCATTACAAAGATATTAATAAGATCTGCTTTCTTATTGTAGAGAAAGGTGTTTTTGGACCCAGTCGTTCTTGGTTTAACAGCATCAAACATCATCTCCATAATTGTGATTTTATTTCTGTATAGAAAATTACACCAAAGCCATCATAAAGGTAGGATTTACCTCTGAAACTGATATGATTATTTAATTTCTATTGATAACATATTTGTATTTGTAGTATTTTAAAAGCTATTAATGCACATAATGGCTTTGACTGAGCTTCATTTGTCTTTTGTTGAAGATGCTGCTGAAGGTCATGCAGTCCAAGTAAATCAGGTAATTTACTCATTTTCTCTTCTGCTAAATTCAATCTATTGGAAACTTGGATTGTAAAGTTCGAGATTGGTATATGATAAATACAAATATTAGCATTTATAATCATGGTAAAATGTAATAGAAATGTCCATCTGAACTCTAGATTCACTCTTACCTACAATTATTACCTCCCTGCACCACACAAAATACTCTGAAACGTGATTTTGCTCACTATGTTTAATGTGCTGGTTGTAGGATCTGTTAACTCTTCTGATAAACTTTTATTTTGCTCAGTGAGTTTGCAGTAAAACCTGTTAAATACTTTTTCTTCTTCAGGGTGAATGTGAAGAAGCTTTGAACTATGCAGCACTGAGTTTCACTAATAAACCATCGTCCTCAAGAGGAACTAAAAGACAACAGAAGCTTAAAGACACTGAAGTTTACTCACAGATCAAACATCCCCAATAAAACTGAATTACTGAATGCTAAAGAATCCTCTTACCTTTTTACTGCTGATTACTCATAAAATCAACTGATGAAATTTGGTTACTTGGTTTGATCCAGTCTTAGTTTTCCAGCCAAAGACAGTCAGAGCAAGATGCTAAAAGTATTTGAGAATGAAAGTTTTGTAACTTGTTTATCTACATGTTACATATTTCTAATCAATTTTCAATTGTAATTGTATATTAATGCTACATAATTTCAGCTATGCACTTTTTGTCTTCTGTGACTGACATTAGTGAAGAATTCATCAGTCTGTTTTTATTTCTGTGATTTTTATTTTTAAACCCACCTTTATCATTAACATTAAATATGACTTTAAACTTTTCTAGAAGTTTGCAGTTCTTTTCTTGCTTTTTCTAGGTAAAAATGGAGAATGTGGACAGAATCAATTGCTTTTTGACACAGTTTCTTTTTTATATCATAATCATATCAGAGATATATACATTAAAATGCAGGTGTAAATGCATTCAATACACATTAAAAACAGATTGAAATCTCACTTAAATTACATCAGAATGTGGTCTGAGTTAGTAAAGTGTAAATGCATGTCTTTTCAAGCCACATTTGACAACCAAAACTCCTCCTAACACTGTGATGACACCTCCCCCTTCTCTTCTGAATATGAGAAAGAGACCACCCCCTGGACTGCTGCCGTTTAACACATGCAGAGCTGCTCTTTCAGTTCAGTTCCTGATATGAGTTTCTCTTATGACTTCAACTTCCACAGCCTGTTTTGCTGTACCTGCATGCCGAACAACTTAACTTATTAAAACTAGATAAAGCACCAGTAAATAAAGCACCAGTTTGGTTAATCCATACTTCACCATGTCATTATTCACTGTCTTATTATAATATTTTACATCATTGGTTCCCAACCCTGGTCCTGGAGCAGCCCCTACCCTGCACACTTTAGCACTTTCTCTGATACAAACACACCTGATCCAAATAATCTTCATGTCAACAAGCCCTTCCTAAGCTGAAGAGGGTATGTTATAGCAGAAAAACACAAAAAGCCTCAGGGCAGGGTTATTCCAGGACCAGGGTTTGGAACCTTTCTTTTACATTATAGTAGACACAGCCCATTAGAAGCTAACTAATCTAAAAAGCTGTCATCTGGTAAACGTCAAGCAAATTTATGACATTAGAGGCAGCAGCAAGGCTCAATGCGCAGGTTATGCTCGGCTTCTCTGGGACAGAGAACCAATGAGCAACTGAACCTGCAATTCGATGATGTGATTTGTCCAAGCAGCTTTGTAATCACATCCCTACAGCGCCCCCTGTTCAGCCTGTCTCCTACAAAGTGGAGCTGCATCCTGTCTGTATGGAAAATTCCACCCCTCACCATCACAATGCTTCTATTCTAGAGGTCAGTTTCCTGTATCTGGACAATCTGCTTTTTATTACTTCTTACAGGTTTTAAATAAAAACAGTAATAAACTAAATAATCTTAAAATACACTAAAACACATTAAATGTGACTGCATGGCAGCATGTCAATGAAAAGTTTCAGTTAAAGATTAGTTCAGATGAAAGTATTCACAGGTTTCAGATGGCTTATAATTCAATTATTAATCTTAAGGCTTCAATAGTCAGACACTACAGTGAATATTTGGTAACTACTAAAAATCCAAAATGTAAGTTTATGGTTAGGTTATACATGTATCTATGAGAGCAGGAGGGGATGTTCAGACACACTTCACTTCAGTGTTTATAGTTTTTTTAAGAAGCTGTTAAAGTTCTGTTTAATCTTTTGATGTGGTTGGAAGTTTCAGCAGCTCATCCTCTACTGCAGTAAATATGTGCCTTCTACACTGTGGTCTCTGCTATATATAAACTCAAATATGGTTTATAGTTCACAGGAGGAAAGACAGAAAACTAAACATTATACACAAAGTTACATTAAAAATAATATCATAACAGTAATGTGTTATTGCCTTAAGAAATCAGACTGCAAAGTTGCATTTTACTTAGAAAAACTTGGTGTGCAAATGTCTGAACAGATAAGGTATATATCTTGTGATGGGAAAAGGCTTGCACAAAAAGTGAAAAGAAAACATATGTAAAAATCGCATCCATAATCACATATAAAATCCCTGGCCGAGTGTAGTTCTAGGACCCTGGAACCATTCAGACACCTGGCCTACGCCTGGAGACCAGAACAATGGGTTCTGCAGTTTTAGAGCTCTAAGCCCACTCTTATACTTTATCCACAGCTGCACCTGCAGGACCAGTGTTTACAGTGCCATTCTCAGACTGGAATTATATACTGAAATGCAATTCATTGTTATATTGAAGGTTGTTATATTACTTTGTTTAGGATTTATGGAATTGCTGTTGTGTTATACTGTTCAGTCCAAGTAGAGTATGACAAAGAGATGTCTGGTGGGCCTCAGCAGTATTTAATAATAAACCTTCAGCAAAAATCAAATTACCATCATATGTTTGTTGTGCTAGTTTTCTTTGCTACTAGGTTTGTTTTAATATATTAATAGAATGTTAATAGATGTTTGAAGAGACACATATTTAAAATTCAAAGCTAGAGTTAATTTGTGATGATTTACTTATTAATTTCCACATTTCTGGCCAGGGCGAGTGGGCAGGGCCTGATTTTACCTCCTACTGTTATAGAAGCCAATCAGCTTTCAGCACAGAGTTATAAAGCCACTCTTCTACAAGTTTTACACACATATTAACAAATTCTCTTACTTTCGTCCTTCAAAAACAGTAAGTGAGCTCTCAGAATTAACTAAATTCCAGCAACACAGCATAGCACATATTATTAGCAGTAGTAGTTGTATTGTCATGTTTTTTCAGGAGATATATTACTTGAAGAGTTTGGCAATGATTCCATTTTATGCACTTGTTTTCCTCTCAACAGCTTCAGGTACTGTTTAAGCTTTTCTTCATGTTTTTAATGTTTTTATGCTTCTAATGAGGTTCAATTTGCTTACTTAACTTACTTCATTACACTCTACAGCTCTTCATGAATTTTTAAAGTAGCAGTACAGTTTGCCTCATTTTTATTGTTTTGTCTATTAGGTGGCACATCAAAGGCTGACAATCAGTGTCTAAATGGACTGAAGTACCTTCATTGGGGAGAAAATATTCATCTGAATTGCTTTTTTCCATCCGTTGACTCGGCAGCAACTGCATGGTTCAAACACACTCCAGGAGAAAAGCCTCTTCTTATTGCTTCTGCTTTTCGTTCTACAACAGTTACATATCACAATGATTTTGACAAGAGTGGCCGCTTTAATGCAGTAAGAACAAAAGATACTTTTAATCTGAGTATCTCAAATGCAGAACCATCTGATTCAGCTACATACTACTGTGCATTTGCATATTATACAGATGCCGCATTAGTAGACTGCACAGTTTTAGTCCTCAAAGGTAGGTACAGTCTGCTTTTATTAAATGCAATCAGTTTGGAAACCTACATTATACTACATTGTAAATCTGATCTCCATCTACATCTCATTCAATAATAAGTAACATTTTCCTCTCTTTAGGTTCATCTTCAAGTCTCTCTGCTGTTCTCCAGCCTCCTGTATCAGATCCTGTTGAACTGGGAGGAGATACAACTTTGCAGTGTTCAATACTCACAGATGCGTCTGCAGGAGAACACAGTGTGTACTGGTTCAGACATGGATCAGGAGAATCTCATCCAGGAATCATTTACACTCATGGAAACAGGAGTGATGAGTGTAAGAGAAGCTCTGAGACTGATTCTCCTACACAGAGCTGTGTCTACAAACTCCCCAAGAGAAACCTCAGCCTCTCTGATGCTGGAACTTACTACTGTGCTGTGCTCATGTGTGGAGAGATCATCTTTGGGAATGGAACTAAACTGGACTTTGTAGGTAAGAGAAAATATTTACTTTCAGTCTCAAGATTTTCATAAAGCTAAAAAAAAATGTTTTCATTACTTCTCTTTTTTTTGTCGTGATGCTGGAGTTACAGTGTTTTGAGACTAAAAGGTGAAATTGAATTATTATTAGGGTTGTACTTGTAGATGTTATTACTAGATATTAGTTTTTCATGCTCAGTGCCATTTATATTATTATAATTATTATTTTTTTGTGGCTGTCATGCAAAAACCTGGTAACTCCATTTTTGTGTTCTTTTTGGAATTTAACTGGAAAACATCAGTTACCCTTTTCATTGTCTTCATTTTCTCACAATAAATGGATGAACAGAAATGATAAAATACTATTTAATAAAAAATCTTGGCACAGTCTTGGAGATACAAAGTTTTGTTCCAACACTGACAGTCATATTGCTGTTGTCAGAACAAAACCTCACATCTGCATTTTTGACGTTTTTCAGTTTTTGGCATAATTTGAAAATGTCTGTTACCCTTTACATTGTATGTGAATCTTATGATGAATGGACTAAAAGAAATTATTAATTATTAAATGTAACATAGTTACAATGATTATAATTTTCTTGATTACTATAGAGAAAGGTGTTATGGACCCAACCCTCATTGGTTTAGCAGCATCAAACATCATATCCGTGGTTGTGGTTTTATTTTTGTGCAGAAAATTATACTACAGTCATCATAAAGGTAGGTTTTACCTCTGAAACTGATATTATTATTACATATAATTTTTACTATTAATTAATTATCTTCGCAAGCCATACAAATGCAATACTGCATGTTTAAATAGTTCGCTTGTTATTTGTTGAAGGTGCTGCTGAAGGTCACACAGTCCAAGCAAACCAGGTGATTAATTCACTTTATTCTAATTTCTCCAAACTAAAGGAACTTTTTTATTTACTTGCCACTTTTAATTGCCATGTGTTTTTGTAAGCAAGCATTATAAAAACTTAACAAACGTATAAGTTTAGGTCATATGCGGGTTCAGGACATGTTATTTGTGTTAATATTAAAAACTTTAATGAATATAAATTGTAATGTGTGATGCCTTGAGATTTTAATGTATATCAGTCATTTCACTTAAGAATATTGAAACCCGATATCAGATTTATTACACGTTCTGTCGTGTTACACTGCTCGCTATCTATAACTGCTTGCAAAAAAAGCGTTCCTTAGATTATTTTAAGGTTATTCAGCGAAAAACAAAAAGTCTTAGACTGTGCTCCATTCTGCCCTATATCAGCCATTCAAACTACAAATACTGAAACTACAAATACTGAAGACTGATTTATTCCACATTCTGAAATGTTTCATTGTTCATTGTGTATAACTGCTACATGTGTGTTTGTGTGGTCTGTCAGGCTGAAGACACCGACGTCTTGAACTATGCAGCTCTAAGCTTTGCTCAGTCTTCCTCCTCAAGAAGGAGCAGAACAAAGAACAGCAGTGATCAGCCTGTGTACGCACAGGTAAAGACCCATCAGTAGAAACAACATCAGAGTTACAATCAAATCTGGAAATCTACTGTCATCATAACTACTCTGTAAACTGTGCTCATTTCACAAATGTTACATAATGTCATAATTTATACGAATCACTGTACCTCTGTATGTGCCATTTTCACAGTGAAAAAAAGTTATTTCTTCTAGCTTCACTTTACTGAAATTTCAATCTAATATAAATACATATTTTTGTTTGTATCTATAGTAATGATAATAATAAAATTAGCTGATTTCAGAAGATGGCTTTGAAAGAATCACATGTGGTCAGGTTTGCATCAGGGTGCTTTCCTATTGAAGTTTTGTGACCGAATTGATGTGCTTTTGTTTTGTTTTGTTTTGTTGTGTTTTGTTGTGTTTTGTTTTGTAAACTATGACATACACAAACTACAATATTGGTCATTCCATGTCAACTCACCTAGGGCCTGTCCAGTCATGTAATGGGTTTTCTTGAATAAATTCAAGGTAAAAATTCAATATAACAATATAGCAACTGCTATTAACACTGTTTGATTTGAAGTATATTGACATGCATGAATTAAAACAGATGTTAGAACATTGCTGTGAGGATTTGATTGCATTCAGCAGCAAGAGCATTAGTGAGGTCAGGTACTGATAGATGATTAGTTCTGGGTCACAAACTCCATTCCAACTCATCCCAAAGCTACTGGAACTTCATCACACTAGAGAACACAGTTCTACTGCTCCACAGCTCAGTGCTGGGGGGCTTTATACCCCTCTAGACAATGCTTGGCGCTGGGCATGGTGACCTTAGGCTCAGGTGTAACTGCTCGAGAGTGTTTTCTATGGAGATTATCCAAGCTGTGTGTATGCAACTGAACACCTGTCAGCAGTGGGTGCATCTTAAAGTAGCTGAATTCACTCATTAGAAGAGGTCTGGATGTTTCGGACATATAGTGCACATACCACCCCCTGGCTGTCTGTTATGCACATAAATTCAAGCTGCCTTTTATTTAGTGTAACACACATTATCCCACATGCTTAATGTTCTAAGGTCAGTAACACTGTGTGTAGCTTGGCTGATTCTACTGTGTGCTGTGTCTTCAAGAGGAAAAGTACTTGTGCTGGTATCGATCCATCACCATGACAACATGTACAGCATCAAGAAACACTGATCTGAGAACCGTATAACCAAAGAACTGTGTTGAGATGTTTTAAAAATATGCACTGGAATTTGTAAAACCAGTTTGTGTTCAAATTTAATTTGTTAAATTGTTAAAATATTACAGTGCTGTTAAAGGTAACAGGTAATACTGAATTTAAAAAATGCATAAATAAATATAAATAAATACACATGTGCACACACACATATATGAAATGAGCAAACCGGTAATGTCAGTTTTGTGGTGTCAGTATAGAGTAAGACACAGGGGAGGCCATGATTCTGCTGTGAGAAGTGCTCTTCTATTAGACACCAGTAGAATAGGCACATACAAGGCTGTGTGTGGGGGAAATCACCACTAGCCGTAAGAGTCACCCTCACAGTAACCGACCCCCAACACAACACACCCACACCCCAGACACAATACACCACACATTTACCCCAACAAACACCATTTAAACACCATTAAAGTCCCCTTTGGGAGGGTGCGTGTCTATCATGAGCCTCTGCACGTGGCCTCTTACACGGCTATCTGTGCTTCTCGGAGGCAGCGCCAGCCAGTAGTGGGTCACTACAATATCCTCTCTTTGAATAGTTTGAAGTTGTTTCTGAAATAAATGACTGTAGTAGTTTTGGCCTTACTATTTTGTTAGCACTTGCATAAGAGGCCTCCCAGAATTTTAGTCACACACAAAAGATGCAAAAGCTAAATAAATAAATATATAAATAAATAAAATGTGAAACTCTGGTTACATTCAGAAAACATAATCTATGAATGTGTTTTAATGTCTTAATAACTATATAATAAATGACCATTGTACATCATCTACATAATAAATGACACTCATTTTACATCATCTTAAAACTGGAAAAAGTTCAAGAAACTTTCCATCAAATGTACAACAATGTAACAGATTTCAATGGTATTAAAATAAAAAATGATCAGTAAAGGAACTGATGTGTACCACATGCAAATAGTATCTCTGAATATCTGCATCTCACCACAACACAGTAGTGAGTTCCAGCATCAGAGAGGCTGAGGTTTCTCTTGGGGAGTTTGTAGACACAGCTCTGTGTAGGAGAATCAGTCTCAGAGCTTTTCTTACACTCATCACTCCTGTTTACATCCATCAGAGCAATCAAACACAGTCTCAGAACTTGTGAGAGAAACCACAGACAAATCAACAGGGACTATAAACGAGTTACAGAGTTCTGTAAGTAGACCAAAGGTACACCAGTCTACAGTGTATATAGGCCTAAATCAAACTGGCCTGATTGGAAAGCTGGCAAAAAGGGGCCATTACAACAATATAATATGACATCTAAAGTTTGCCAGAAAGCATGAGAGTGATCCAGCTAAGACATGAAAAAATATTTTGTAGTTAAACAAGACAATGATAATGTTTTTAATCTTAAGTTAAAGCTCAGTGTGCAGTGTGTAAATAAAACCACCCATACTTTAAGAGAATCACCCATACAGTGAAACATGTATTATCCTCATGGATCTTAGGGGTGGTGGAGCCTATCCCAGCGGTCACTGTGAGGAAGACAGGAAACACCCTGGTCGCCAGTCCATCACGGGGCAGACACACACACACACATTCACACCTTAGGGCTGTTTAGCATCTCCAGTTGGCCTGACTGCATGTCTTTGGACTGTGAGAGGAAACCCACACAGACACAGGGAGAACATGCAAACTCCACATATAACATAGTATAACATAGTGTAATACATATAAAGCAAAGTACTATGTAATTTGGGGTAATACAGTGTACAGTGTAATGTAGTAGATACAATTGCAGTGTGGAAGAGGCTTCTCAAAAACCTTGTACACTATGAAGCTAATGGAGCATTTGCCAGAGGAGAAGGCACAGGGCCGACATTAGGATGCATACATATCTTAGAACTGAGCAAAGTTAGTAAAGATGCTTTTTGAAACACTTCTTAGAGCCTGAGATCCTGAACAGTCAGGTTGCTATACACTTCTATGGTGCATTTGTGTAAGAAGACTAGGAACAAATTAGCTATGAAGGTGTTTTAAATAACCTTAGTAGCTACATAACAATGATACCCATGTTACATTATTTTATTATTTACATCAGAAATAAACTGACTACAATGACTATTTTTGATCTGCTTATTATTTTTATATATTTATTTCATTTAATCATTTTTGCTGATTAAAGCAGTGTCTAGTTCTGTGCATGTGTGTGTTTTTTCCAAGTACCTAATACATGTATGTAATCTAATATAAGCTGCCTTTTGTTTGCTTGTAATGTGAGTTTATTCTATGAATCTAACAGGTTGTTTTTCTGTGAGGGTTTTGTGTTCTGCCTCTATTGCTTTTCCTGACAGTGCAACCCACCTATTGCCTTACTTAGAGCAACTTCAAAGGAATGATCCTGAAATGACAGGGCCAGAAGGTAGCAGAGAACTGCAGGTAGAGTTTACACTCATCATAATCTTCATGTGTTAGTTCAGTGCAGTACCTTTCACAAACTTGATGCCTTTTGTTGCTTCTTTCATATTTCCACTGGAGTATTTGACCCTGTTTTAATAATAAACTGGATTATGTGTTCTATTTCAAATGCAGCTCAGTGAAATCATTATTGTCAGAGAAGGACCGCAGACACAAGGCACTCACTTCCCACATCATGAAAACATTCAAGAGGGTGGTCCTTAAACAGCACAGAATGTTGATCATGGACCACCAGGACGAAAAACTGCTTATTTCAAGTTGATTATTGCAAAGAAATGTGGTGGATCTTGGTTGTATTTAATCATGTTTATGTTCTGTCTTTGTGTGCTCTTACTAGCACAGTAAGTGGTGTGGATAAACCATGCCTGTAACCCAGCAGAGGTGATTTGCATATTAAGCTCTTTATTTATGCACACTGATGTGAGTGGTTGGTGCCCAGTTGAACTTTCTGTTACGGGAGCCAATCAGCTTCTGCCAGAGAGTTATAAAGGTGCTCTTGTGGAGGTTTAAGTACAGACTGATGCATGCGTCTCAAATGACTACTTCCTACAAAAACTGTAAGTGACGTCTTATAAAACTATACATATGTATAATATTAAATATATAAATGAATTCTAATGCTAATGCTTTTTATATTTTTCCTCAGGAGCCACATTACTTGAAGAGTTTGGCAATGATTGGATTTTATGTAACAGTTCTGCTCTTAACAGCATTAGGTAGTGCTTCAGCACTTTTTTCCCTTTGTTTCTTGAACACATGGACTGTAGTGTGTCATATAAAATATACAAAATATATAATAAGAGTTTCACATTTTCAACTGTTTATTTTTTTTTTAGGCAGCACATCAAAGGTAGACATTTCCTGTCTAAATGGACTGAAGGTCATTCAGGTCGGGGAAAATATTAGTCTGAATTGTTCTACTTCATATTCTTATGTGACAGCGATTGTCTGGTTCAAACAAACTCCAGGAGAAAAGGCTCTTCTTATTGCTTCTGCTTTTAGTTCTACTCCACAATATCACAATGATTTTGACAAGAGCGGCCGCTTTACTGCAGTGAGAGGAAAAAGCAGTTTTACTCTGAATATCTCAAATGCAGAACCATCTGATTCAGCTACATATTACTGTTCTCTTACATTATATGCAGATGTTGCATTATTAGGCTGCACAGTTTTAGTCCTCAAAGGTAGGTGCTCGTCTATTATAGTCTGCTTTCATTAAATACCATTAATTTTGAAGCAGTTTTTTTTTTCTGCATTTCTGCATTGTAACATTTTTCTCTCTTTAGGTTCATCTTCAAGTCTCTCTGCTGTTCTCCAGCCTCCTGTATCAGATCCTGTTGAATTGGGAGGAGATACAACTTTGCAGTGTTCAATACTCACAGATACGTCTGCAGGAGAACGCAGTGTGTACTGGTTCAGACATGGATCAGGAGAATCTCATCCAGGAATCATTTACACTCATGGAAACAGGAGTGATGAGTGTAAGAAAAGCTCTGAGACTGATTCTCCTACACAGAGCTGTGTCTACAAACTCCCCAAGAGAAACCTCAGCCTCTCTGATGCTGGAACTTACTACTGTGCTGTGCTCATGTGTGGAGAGATCATCTTTGGGAATGGAACTAAACTGGACGTCGTAGGTAAGAGAAGATATTTACAATCTATTTTAACAGCCTCAAGCCCAACCCAAAGCCAATGTAATTATCTCAGAATATCTGCCACACAGTAAAAGACAAATGTATGCGGATATACGATGTGAATCACCCATGATATGGAGATTCTTCTTTCGTTCAGCAGTGTTTGTATTTGTGGTGGTATGAAGTCACGAAGCCACTCATAACTGTTAACGTGATAATGTGAAATTCATATATTTTGATGGTTTTATTTTTTTCTCAAACAGTGGTTGTTTTCAATTCAGTTTTGTTTGCTTAATTAATCAGACATTTTGTTTCAATGATTTGTTGGTTGTTATAGAGAAAGGTGTGTTGGACCCAACTCTTCTGGTTTTAGCAGTGTCAAACATCATAACCACAGCTGTGGTTTTATTTCTGTGCAGAAAATTATACAACCACCATCATAAAGGTAGGATTTACACATATGAGACTGAGATATGATTGTTTAATGGTTTGCTAGTTTTTGTAATAATAATGTAATATGTTTGAGTGATTTACTTTTTACTTGTTGAAGGTGCTGCTGAAGATCACTCATTGCATATAAACCAGGTGATTTTTTCACTTTCTTTATGATCTTTTTTCTTTCTGTATATCTTGACAGACTCATATAATTGTTGACAACTTATTACTTATTTTATATATATATATATATATATATATATATATATATATATATATATATATGATGTAATACGGATATTTTAGTACATTTCTAGTATTCTCATAGCAATTATATCTGTGCATTTTGACATTATAAATCAGAAGTGTTTTTTTCTGTTACTGAATTGTGAGCACACTAGTATGCAAATGTTTGAACACCCCTGGTCAAATTCCACATTCTTTACAGTGAACAGAGAACACACTTAGATATGACATTTTTCTGCAAATTTTACAGCAAAATTTCTATTTATTTGATTAATTTAATTTAACATATTGGGAAAAAAAATTATAAATATAAAAAAATATAAATTAAATGTGCCATGAACTTTATTTTTTTTATTGTGTTTTTTTTAATATGTTAAATTCAACAAACAGACAGTAATTTTGTACTAAAATATGCAGAAGTAGAGAAATGTACAGAAGTGTGTTCTCTATAGAGGATGTGTAACTTATTTTCACTTAGAAAATCAACAGAATGTGTCACTTGCCAGAGATGCCCGTACTTTTGCATACAACTGATAGACACAGAATTTATAAATTTTGTATTCATATTTATTTAATTACCTCTTGGTGCCTTCAATATAGCATCGTTTTAAAACACTTAGACAACTAACAGTGAGAGCTAGTTGGGCTAAAGTCAACCTTTTGGCTGAATTGTTGGTATTAGTGCTGCAAACTAGATTAGTTGTAAATCTAGTTCAATAACTTGCTCAAATAATTTAAAAATGATTAAAAAAAAAGATTTTATTTGTTTGTGCCCTGCTCTACACTGTATCAGCCATTGCCGCTGCAAATTTTAAAGTGTGATTTATTCCACAGTCTGAAATGTTCTATTGCTCATCATGTATAACTGCTACATGTGTGTCTGTGTGGTCTGTCAGGCTGAAGACACTGACATCTTGAACTATGCAGCTCTAAGCTTTGCTCAGTCAAGAAGAAGCAGAACAAAGAACAGCAGTGATCAGCCTGTGTACGCACAGGTAAAGACCCATCAGTAGAAACAACATCAGAGTTACAATCAAACCTGGAAATCTACTGTCATCATAACTACTCTGTAAACAGTGTTCATTTCACACAGGTTGATGTAGAATATTATTATTACTGTAAATTATGTATGTGTTACTTTTCCCATTTGTGAATACAGCATTTTATTTCATCCAGTTGTATGCTGCTAAATGATTTTCATAAGTTGAGCGTATTTTATTTAATTTTAAGTGTATTTTTTAATAATGTTTTAAAATATTAAAATTTGCTGACATTACCCAATGTTTCTGAAACATGTAGCCAGGTTGTTATTCCACTCATCAGGCTTGCTTTAGGACACTTTACTATTGAAGCTCTGTGACCGCATTGATTGTTTTTAACTATATATATATATATATATTACACATGACATAAATATTGGTTTATGGTAACACATGGATGTCCATAAAAATAACGAGGGAGAAACTATAATTCATTAATGTATGCAGAAATTATAAAGGCGTGCAGTCAAGTTTAATTGCTGGCAGGATATCCGAATTGAGTTGAAATATTAATTGGTTTAAATACAACAGTAAAAATAACAAATAACATTTAAAAAATAAGTCTGTTGTTTTACAGTTGGTTTGAGATAAAGTTTTACCACCATCATCGCATTGGAGGGTATAACATCTGACACATTATGCAATATTTTATCTTTGATCTAGTTTTTGGCTCTGTTTTTGTTTTTTTCAGATTTTCCACAATTTTACATCATCAACATTACATATAAAAACTCCGAAGACTCATTTAGGTTCATTGATCATTTTGGAAAGTAAATAAAATGATTATATTTGTTTTGTGGACATTGCGACTCCTGGTTCCCATCACAACCACTGTAAAGAAATCTGAGTTGGTAATTTTCTGCACAATGAAGCATTTTGCATCAAACCACTCTGACTCACTTTGTTTACATCTCACAGATTTCATTTTTCAGATATGTTGAAAATTCTGTGAAATATGTATATTTGATCTTACTTACAAAATCACGTTTAGATCTGTTTCCAAGGATTATCACTTAGTCAGTGGTGCAACACACTGAAATAAAGGACAATAAAGCATGTTCAATGGTTATTATACTCAGTATTCCTCATCATAGATACAGAGAGGGCAAAAGGTTTGAACACTCTTCTCAGATTTGAAAATAAGAGATTTCCTCAAAGATATCTAATGTGACAGTATTGTGGTGTGATAATGATAATGTGGTGTAATAAATGCACATGTTTAATGTTCCAAGGTCAGTAACACTATGTGTAGCTTTCCTGATTTTACTGTGGGCTGTTTCTGCAAGAGGAAAAGTACTAGTGCTGATATCGATCCATCACCATGACAACATGTACAGCATCAAGAAACACTGATTTGACAACTGTATAACAAAAGCACTGTATTGAGATGTTTGAAAAATATGAGCTAGTATTTGTAATACTGGATTGTGGTCAAATTTAATTTCAATTGTTATGATATTATGGTGCTGTTAAAGGTGACAGGTAATAATGAATTTGAAAAATTGATGAATAAAACAATTCAAATAAACACACATGCACACACCCACACACACACACATGAACAAATAAGCAATGTCATTATTGTGGCATCAGCATAGATTAAGACACGGTAGGCCATGATTCTGCTGTGCTCTTTTATACAAAGCACTAAACTCATGGGGAAATCACCACTAGCCATAGGCTTCACCCTCACGTTGGTTGGTAACCAACCCCCAAAACAAAACAACTCACTCCCCCAGACATATATACCACAAATAACACACAACACATATTTACACCAACAAACAACACTTAAATAACAAGTCCCTTTTTGGGAGGGTGCGTGCCTAACATGAGCCTCTGCACATGGCCTCCAGTCCTGAGCTTCTCAGAGGCAGCACCAGCCAGTTGCAGGTCATTACAACATTATGTGTTTGCAATTGTTTGAAGTTGTTTCTGAAATAAAGGACTGTATTAGTTTTAGCCTTACTTTTTAGTTAGCACTAGCATAATAGACCTCCCAGAATTGTAGTCAGACACAAAAGATACCAAAGCTAAATAAATAAATACATGAATGCATAAATAAATAAATGAATGTGAAATTTTCTGGTTAAATTGTGTTTTAATGACTACATAATTCTTAATAAGTACATAATAAGGGTACCACATCCAAATAATATCTCTCCATACATGCATGTCACCACAGCACAGTAGTAAGTTCCAGCATCAGAGAGGCTGAGGTTTCTCTTGGGGAGTTTGTAGACACAGCTCTGTGTAGGAGAATCAGTCTCAGAGCGTCTCTTACACTCATCACTCCTGTTTCCATGAGTGTAAATGATTCCTGGATGAGATTCTCCTGATCCATGTCTGAACCAGTACACACTGTGTTCTCCTGGATGAACTGGGTCTAACATAAGCTACTGGAGAACCTTGTGCTTTGTCAGGGATGCAGCTCAAACAATAAATCATGTTTAATGGTTATTATGCTCAGAATTCACCATTATTCATATTGAGAGGTTTGAACGTTTGGACATTCTTCTTAGCCTTGAAAATAAGACGATTTCCTCAAGGTTATCAAATGTGACAATGATGCCTCTTGGATCAAAGACACTGTGTTATATATAATATAAATATCAACTTTTCATTGAACATGATTGATTTCTACCTGTGAACCATTCATGTAACTTCTGCATTTTCTAAACGTATTTATATAGGTAGGTAGATAGATAGATAGATAGATAGATAGATAGATAGATAGATAGATAGATAGATAGATAGATAGATAGATAGATAGATAAATTCATTCTGTTTCATGATCATTGGTCAAGCTGTGAGCCTGAGGGCAAGGCATATTAATTTGGATTTGAGCAAAATAATAGAAAATTATATCTCTCTCAGTGAGCAGTGTGTTCAGTGACCGAAAGGTGGAAGCTGTATCACAGCAATCAAACACAGTCTCATAATTTGAGAGAAACCACAGACAAATTAACAGTCACTATAAACAAGTTACACAGTTCATTGGCTGTAAGAGGACTAAAAGTGAACTGGTCTATATGTTTATTGTCATTCCAGTGTATTATAGTCTAATACCATATGCACATGTAAACAGTAAAACACACACTTTATCTAAGCCGCTTATTCTCCTAGATCACAGAGGGTTGCTGGAGCCTATTCTGTCACTGGGCGGAAGGGAGGAAACACCCTGGAGAGGTCGCCAGTCCATCACAGGGCAGACACTCAAACATATACACATTCACACCTAGGTGAAATTCACCTGACTGCATGTCTTTGGACTGTGGGAGGAAACCGGAGCACCCAGAGGACACCCACACAGACACAGGGAGAACATGCAAACTCCACACAGAAAGGACCCTGGTCACCCATCCAGGGAATCAAACCCAGGCCCTTCTTCTTAAAAAGGTGTTTTAACTGAACTTAATATCTACATAATTTTTAAGACACGAAATGATTATTTTTGTTACACTTGTTATTTTTTTTTAATTATTTAATTTAATAATTTTTGTTGACTAAGCAGTGTCTAGTGTTGCGCGTGTTTGTATTTGGGTGTGTGTTTATTCAAGTGGCTAATGCATGTATCTCATAATGCATGTATCTCATATTTCCACTGGAGTATTTGACATTGTACTAATAGGATTATTGAGATCATATACATTATATATTATTTATTATATATTATATAGGATAATTTGGAATACATTTACTATTTCAAATACAAACATGGAAAATAGAATGCAGCAGTGAACACTCAGTGAAATCATTAGTGTCAGCATTTTCTGCACATTAAAAAGAGCACCCAGCTCT